GATGAGAGTCCAGGTCTACAGTACCACATCTGCTTTAGAGGGAATGGAACCCAGGGCTTCACGCATGCCAGGCAAGCACACTATCAACCTCAGCTCTGGCAGCTTTGTTTTTAAAAAATAACTTTAAAGTACGTGGATCACTCCTTTGAGATACAACTTTCCACACTGACTGCATGGGAAATAAGCAGACTGGCTAGGGTCTGCTTCCTGGTCATGGCAGAGGGCACAGCATGTGGGTTAGGACACGTCCATGGGCAAAGGGACAGGCTACAGGATGCTGCAAGGGGCACACTGCAGGGACTGTTGCTTTCAGAGCCTGTCCAAACCTCTTTTGTTGGTGCTGGCATTCATATGCCACTAGACCACTTCCTCTCATTTCTCTGACAGAGCGTCAGGATGGGGAGCCGGCAATAAGGCGCAGGCCCTGCTGTCTGTCCTTCTCGGACTCCTCAAGGGTGTAGAGGAGAAAAGCACTACTATGTTGGAGTTGGGGTTCCTGTATCTCTTCAGGGCTCTTCACACCCACATCCAGCCCAGACTCACCTGCATAACCTTTAGCTCTCCCGCTGTGCACAGATGACCCTCAGGATAGGGGTACCGGGGCCTGCGCATGGTCTGGGCTCATCTTCTATTCGTTTTGTTTTGTTTTGTTTGTTTTTTTGTTTTTCAAGACAGGGTTTCTCTGTGTAGTTTTGGTTCCTGTCCTAGATCTTGCTCCGTAGACCAGGATGAACCTCGAACTCACAGAGATCCACCTGGCTCTGCCTCCCAAGTGCTGGGATCAAAGGTGTGTACCACCAGTGCCCGGCTCATCTTCTGTTCTTACTCTGGATACTTCCTGTCACAGACCAGGTAACTGGCCGGTAACTGGCTCTTAGTCTCTAGGTCACTCTCCATCCTAGGCCATTTTCTGTTACATTTTCTGTTACCTTGGTTTCTGTCTCTGATCCCACAAGACCTGACTTGTATACACTATATACTCCCCAAACCTCATCTGTCCTCATGTGGTGTCAGTAGTAGTTCCTCTGAGAGGCAAATAGCCTCACTTACCAGAGTACATTCCCAAACGTGAGACCCATGCTCCATCCTACCCATGAGATCCTCTGCCTTGGGCCCGAGTCTGTCTATTCCTACCATGGATCCTTGGGGCAGGTAGCCTCCTATTCTCATGGGCTTTCTTCCTTATGTGTAGAAAGAGGCATGGTGGCCACGGCTTGGTGAATCCAGGAAAAGCTGCAGGCCCTATGCTTGCTCATTGTCCCTGACCCAGGAGTCTCAGTCACAAAGCCATATGCAACCAGGATGCAGTCTAGCTCTAGTCCAAGGAACAGTGGTGGGGTGGGAGGGGCCACTGTGCTCTCTTGCCTTTTGTCTCAGACCAAGCTCGCTGGCCCAAGGACAGCCCTTTCTTTTATATCTTTGAGACAGAGCTCAGGGGCACACTCCATCAATGTCCCCTGGCCTTGAGTCCTTGGTTCTGGCAGCATGTGGATTCCCCTGAGAGGCCCTTTAGGGGGCTGGACAATGCTGGGTACCTTGAGCTGGTACTTTTATTGATGGGGGAGCATAATGGCTTCTTAGGTGGCTCTTTCGAGGCTTAGGGGTGCTGGGATGGCCTAAGCAGGGCAGGAGGTTGGAAAGTTGGGGGGTAGGAGAGTGCATCCTACACACCAAGCCTCTGAAGACATGGGGAACCCAGAGGATGTGATGTGCCTGGGGTCTAGGAAGGACCTTGGGGTGCACTGAGCCATGAGATCCTTCGGGTGGTAGCCCACAGCCTTTGACATCAAGTGGAGAGTAGGGGTGAACATGGGGGAGCAGCAAGTATTTCTGTGTTCTGTAGAGACGTCCGAGGCCTCTCACTCAACCCCGGGACTGTACTTAGATTACTTACATAGGACAGGTGAGGCTCAGGCCTGGCCCCCATGGCAGGGGGTGATCCTGCTGGGAGAATAGCTGGTACCAATACTGTGGTCTGTTCTAAAGAGACTAAGCTGGCCTCCCCTAACCCTGCTGTGGACTAGGGTGTTGTTGCCTGAATCAAACTGGTCCACAGTGTGTCTCCTACACACTCGCACTCCTGCCAAATGCCAACCCTTTGCCGGAGTCCCTGTGTGACCTTTGGTCCGAGGGCCACCCCCCCATCCCCCACCCCCCACCCCCAGCCCCAGCACACATGCAAAGCTGGTGGTGGTGGAGACCATTTTATCTCTGTCCAAACACTGGATCTGGCTGTGTCCCACCTAAGATGGGGCTGTTTTCCTCGGCCCCTTTCCTACCAGCCACTGAGCCCTACTGATTAACTCAGCCCTGCCTGACCCGAACATAACTAGCCAGACATTTTCAGGGGATGATGGGGCCCAAGCTCTCTGAAGCCGGACTTCACACTGTGTCCACATGCTGAATAGGATTTGGAGATTTGTGGAAGGGGGTCCTGCCGTTTCACTTGGCCAATCCCGAAATGGGTTTTCCTCCAAGTATTAGGTCAGGGGGCACCTGTAGTCAACAGAAGCCATTGCTAAGGAGGTATTTGAGTAATGACAAACATCTAAATGAGAAAAGCCCACTAGCTGGCCAGCCAGCGGGGTGATGGATGGCCTATGGAGTTGGGACAGAGGCCTGCTGCCCGGGCTAGCACTGAAACTATCTACTGGGGCCGCTCATGGTCTGGCAGGCTCTCTCCCATGAAGTCACGTTCTGGGGGCGGGGAGGGGGGGAGGACTGGGAATGTGCTTTTCATGTTGGCCAGATACACACAGTACTTTGAGCAACAATCTTACAGGCCCAGGTTCTCAAGAAACAAAGAGGAATCAACATACTTACAACCTAGCTGTTCACAGATTTGTTCATTCATTCATTCATTCATTCATTCATTCACTCATTCCACAGGCTAATACTGAGCACTGACTGGGGTGAACGAGACTATGGCTCCTCTCTGGTATGCTTAACCAAACAGAGCCATTATTGCCAGCACCCTCTTCCTCTCCCACACTTAGCCACCACACATACCCCCATCCTCAATGATGGCACTTCATGGGCCAAATGCTTTTCTCACAAGGAAAGAGATATGACTCTCTCCCAAGCTCATGCCTACCATCAAGTTATTGCTCTTGCCTGAAACACAAGTCAGGTGGTATGCTATTTTGTCTTAATTAAGAGCATTTGTGTATGGTAGGCAGTATTCAGCCCCCACTCAAGGTGGACTCTCTGGCAGGGGACTGGTGGGGGCAGGGGCAGCCAGTGTTACCCGTCAAAGAGGAAGTCCCCTCCAGGGCCAGGCTCCTGAGGGAGGTGGGCAGGGAGCCAGCTGGAAGCAGGCCTGAATAGCACAATGCTTTGTGGCTTCGCGGGTTTGTGGCTTTGCACAGTCCCCTAACATATGTGGGAGTGGTTTCACCTCCTCACCCCAGGCCTTCCCCAAGGGCCTCTTACCAGTGAAGGCTGGCTGGGAGCTAGAGCACAGGTTTGGGACAGGGCTCAAGGCCTGGAGGGCCAGAGTGAGCTGTAATTCACATGAAATACATATTTACATCAAATCTTCCAATCACCCACTTGCAAAGGGCAACTCACATTTCCAAGCCATAGCAGGATGAAGGGCCAGACCTGAGTTGCCCAGGGATGGAACAAGGAACTGTCACTTAGTCAGTCCCTGCGACAGGAGTTGGGGAAGAACCCAGACTGGCAGCAGAGTATGGGTACCCTAAGATCAGGCCTCCTGCTGTCACTATTGCATGGCAAGCCAGCCACTGCCTCACTCCCCAGACACTGTGCATGTGGCAGGCCTTTGGGTTTCATCAGAGAGGCAGATAGTGGAGAGTGGAGAGTTGGGGGCTATGTGCCAATCAAAAGTGAGGCCCTACTAGCCTCATCTTGACCTCTGTCATGGTGATCGTCAGGTCTCCGGTGACCGTTCCCTCAGTTTGTGTCAAGCCTGTTTGAGCAGGAAGCAGTACAGTAGCTCTCACCAGTGCTGTGACAGACGGGGCAGGCTCAAAAGTGCTGCTGGGTGAATTCTAAATCATAGTCAGGGACTGAGTCAAGTGACAGGAGACTAGCTGTTGATTTTACTAAGCGCTAATGGCTCTATTTTGTTTTTGAACTTGGTCCTCACACCATTCACTTGCACTTGTCTGCTGTCTATTTACCTTTCTATTCATCTACTCAACCAACCATCATCCATCTACCCACTTATTCATCCACCCATCCACGCACCTACCTACTCACTCATCCATCCATCTACTCATCCATCTGCTCTTCCATTCATCCATCTATCCACCCACTCATGTATCTATCTGTCTATCCACTCACCCATCTACTCATCTATCCATTCACCTTTCTGTCCATCTGTCCATCTACCACTGTAACCTGGATTGTAGCCTGGGTCCCTCTAGCTTGTAAACCCTTTCAGAGCAGCCTGACTTCAGAGTATATGTGGATACAATGGGAGAGGCCTGGTCTATGTGAAGTGACCAAGGGGAGCTGGTGCTGCCCATGCCCTTTGTTTTATTCCTTCTAATCTCTCTGGATGGGTTGGGAGGGTTCTTGCACCCAGATCTCAGTAAAGGCCACAGATGGTGGATGTAGTGTCTCCATCATAAGGCAGAGCTATGAGGTGAAAAGGGGACAGTCCTCCAAAGACACATGTCCTTGAACCCTCGCTTTCTGGTGCAGGGCTTAAGCTCTGTGGATTCCATGAAGTTGAACAACACAGATGTCAACATTGTGTTGTCACACTCAGTCATTGTACCCCAACCCTGCTGTAAAGTGTTCCCTAGAGAGTAGTAGCTGACCAGTGTCCACTATCAGGGTCCCTGGGCTTAGTATGTTGACCTTCCCAGGCTGGTTCTACTCACAGGCACCACCTGTTACTACAGATGAACACCTGCGCCTGCTAGTCTTGGGTATCCCTCAGCAGAGGTTCCTGGCATGGTAGCCTGGCATAGGAGGTCCAGCCTGAGGGGTGGTAGCCTCTGATACAAGCTTACTGCCGTCTTCCTCAGGAGATCGTCCTGGTGGTGTTCTTTGGGACAGAGTATGTGGTCCGCCTCTGGTCTGCAGGCTGCCGCAGCAAGTACGTGGGCATCTGGGGCCGGCTGCGCTTTGCCCGGAAGCCCATTTCCATCATTGGTGAGTCCCACCCACCCATCCTGCAGACACTCCATCCCACACTCCTGCATCCAGAAGGGCATCCCCCATTACAGTCACCCCCAGAGAGTCCTCATGGACTGAGACACTCCCCCACACATTATTCTTCCTGCATGAGACAGGCCCTAAGGCCAACAGGAAGTATGCCCAGCTCTCCCAGCACTGGAGCCACAGCTTCATGTGACTCTCCTTGCTCAGTGTGGCTTGACAGGCTTTAGGCTCTGTCTACTCTGGCTTGGGTAAAGACACAGGCATGCGTCCCCATCAAGATTGTTCCTGTGCCCATCTTGCTTGAGTGTCACATCACCCGGGGGTGGGTGGGGACACAACCTCCCCAGATTTCTGGATGCCGGAAGTAATGACCAGCTGCCCCTTCCACAGACCTCATCGTGGTTGTAGCCTCTATGGTTGTGCTCTGTGTGGGTTCCAAAGGACAAGTGTTTGCCACATCAGCTATCAGGTATGTTGACTCTTCATTTCTCCCTGTGAGACAGGACCCACCACAAAGCTCCCTCCTCTTAAGTAGTAGCCTCTCCCGTCCTGGTTCTTTCATGGTGAGTGGGGAAGGGGCAGGCTGGCCATGGTTTGTAATATTGAGGAAACCCTGGGTTCAAGGCCTGACCATAGCACTTCCTAGCTCCTAGGACTTAGGTGATAACCTGACGGTATATTTGCAATGTGAGTGACCCTAGGCCTCCCCAAGACAGCCGCCTGGAAGGGTTCCTGGAGTGATGGTTCACAGGCACCTGTAGGAAGCAAGATGGCCCCAGTACAGAGTGACATGTGTGTCTCCTCTACCCATTGGAGGCTTGGTGGGGACAGGAACGTAGGGAGCTTGTGATCACCATGGCCCTCTCAGCCCCTCTCTCCCTGCTTCTTAGGGGCATCCGCTTCCTTCAGATCCTGCGGATGCTGCACGTTGATCGCCAGGGGGGTACCTGGAGGCTTCTGGGCTCTGTAGTCTTCATTCACCGTCAGGTGAGTGAGCCTGGTGTGGGTAGGACAGAAGCTGGCCACCCTACAGGAGGAGGGCTGGAGATTCACAAGGTCAGGATACAGGGTTGGTGGTATCTTAGTACCTGGACCCCAGCTGAGTGACCCAGGGCTAAGCAGGTACCAAGGCATGTGGGTATGAGGACAGCATCCCAGATCCTTCCCAGCCTGAACCTACTCCATATCCATGATGACAGCATACTTGGCCTGCCAACGATGCAGAGCTGATGCCAGCTCCCTCAGGCTTGGGACAAAAGACCACTGGGTCCTGTAGAAAATGTTAAATAAAGAACAGATTTAGGAAGCATGGAAATCAAGGATGGTGCAGTGGTGAGAGTCTCAGATACCTTCCAGAGGCAACTCTTTCCCAGAGAGGCTTCTGGAGACACCTGACTCTAAGTACTGGCCTGTCACCAGAACAGAGGAAGATGTGTGGACCCCAGTGACTGGTTCAGTGTGAGAGCTGAGACTGCCTCACTGCTAAGTGGCATTATCTACCATTTTCAAAAGCTATGAAAACTGGGTTATTCTGAAAGGTGACTTCTGCATGTATAGCATGCTATAGCTAACATAGTATAATCTAGCAAATGCTGGAACTTTGTACCAAGGCATTTCTCTCACCACACCTATGGAGCTCTGGACCACAGGGTATGTGAGCATGCTTGATGTGTTCTCTGTCCCCAGGAGCTGATCACCACCTTGTACATTGGCTTTCTGGGTCTTATCTTCTCCTCCTACTTTGTCTACCTGGCTGAGAAAGATGCAGTGAACGAGTCCGGCCGCATCGAGTTTGGCAGCTATGCGGATGCTCTGTGGTGGGGGGTGGTAAGTTGAGTGTCACATCACCCAGGGGTGGGTGGGGCTTTTGCTGGGGTGTCTCAGGTGGAGGACACGTGGACCTGGGCAGTACGGGTAGAGTCCTGGGCTCTAACTGCTCAATTTTAGTCTTTTTGTTTGTTTGGTTTTTGTCTTTGCCTCCTCCACTGAGGCTACTAACTCCAACACTGCAAACTTTTCAACCACAAAATTTGCACTTGAAGCCTACAGTATGGGTTCCTGTGTACCACAGTGTGTGTTCCCTGGTCCCTGCCTTAAAATGTGAACATGGTTATCCTTCAACTTCTGGTCAGGAAAGGAAGGATGATGGGACAAGGGGGTGCAGAGTGGTGCTTGGTACCTCAACCACAGGGTGATCTTTCCCCTGGAGGGGTCCTGGGCTCAGAGTGTAGCAAGGGGTCAAATGCATACTTTGCTTGTCTTTGGTGTCTGTGCTGACCCAGTGAGCACACCTGTGCCAAGGATCAAGACATGAGATGACATAATGACATCAAGGTCCTTGGGGGCTGGGAGGAAGAAGCAGGGGTTTCTGTAGATGTGAGGTCTGCACAGTCCTTCATTGCCCCAGGAAGCAATACTGTGAGTGCCAGCCAGGCCCTAAGGTTATGAAGCTGGTCATGGGCCTCCTGGGTCAGGGTGACTCCAAACCTGCTGAGTTGCCAGTCTCTGTGGAGGCTGATGTGTGACAGATGACCACTCATGCTAGGACCGAATGTCCCAAGGGGTGGTGATGTTGTGTGCAGGTGTGTGTGTGTGTGTGTGTGTGTGTGTGTGTGTGTGTGAGAGAGAGAGAGAG